TTCCGATGCTTTTAGCAACCCTGAGAAGAAGGATAAGCCGAAAGTGTGGTGCCGGAAGTGCTATGAGAAGCACATGAGAAGGGAGAAGGATGCAGACCAAGAGCAGGTCATGCAAGGGCTGCGGGATGAGCATAATGTACGCTCTGAAGAGGAGATAGCAGCACCAAGTGCGTATTGGGACTACTCTGGCCTTAGCACAAACTAACTACTGGCCCATATCTACTAGTGTGGGCCGGCAACACGCTGACAAACCCTCGCGGGTTCCATCTTTGGCTTGCGGCAGCCAAGAATACATTGCTGACGCACCTTGAGAACTGCGGCGAGCAAGATCCATCAGTCCGACAGCAAGCCAGGGCAACCAAAGATGCCGGCACGCATCCGATGGCCATGCCCGTGGCGGTGGCACCGCTAGCTGTTGGTGGTGCCTATCCCACAGCTACGCCGGGCCATTATCCATATCCCCTCCCACCTCCTACCCACGCTGGACAACCAGGACCATCAACGGCACCCACAGCCGAGTTCGGAGTGGCTGATCCCCCTTCTGCTGCACATTTCGCGCTGAATCCGTGGCCTCTTGCTATGCCGCAGCCAGTTGGCGCCGCACAGCTGATGTTACCCTCCATCTCGCCCTCACCATATGATCTCAGACGATCTGCATCAAGTGGTTATGGTACCCCTGTATCAACTGGAGGTACGTGTCCTGCTGTATTGCTTGAATTTTGTATTTATTTAATCGGAAATATTACTATAGTCACTGCGCCATCTCCGCTCAGTACCATCTCTGGACTTCAAGACCTTCCATTTGCAAGTTCATCTACTGTTTCCACTCCAGAGCTAGCGTATGGTCCCTATCCACTTGCTGGCAGCAAACGTCTACGGCACTCACTTTCACAATATTCACTTGTACCTTCACCGCATCTATCCGACTCACCAAGCCTTGCAGCTGAGACTTGGTTGCCTCAGCGTCAGCAGCAATTTGAAACCTTGTTGGCTCGCCTTACAGCATCTGCAAATCTTCCCCATTCATGGGTTGAAGATCTGGAGTGGAAGTGATTCCTTTCTGAGTTTGTTCCTGGCGCACGCCCCTTCTCTCGGAAGACACTTACAAACCGCCTCATTCCATCAGCCTTGAGTGTCCTCAGAGCAGAATCACGTGCCAAAGTTGTGGGCAGGGTTGTAACACTTCATACCGATGGCTGGTCAGCTTCAAATTTCCACCACTTCCAAGGGTTCTCAATAACTGCGGAGCGACGAGTACTCTATATTTATAAGCTACTCATATATGAAGCTGACTTTTCTTTGCAGTCTCTTCCAGTTTCTCTCAAAGACACTACGGCAGAGCGCAAGACTGCGGAACTACTACTGGTTCATATCCGAGCTGTGATTCGGGAAGTCACCAACAACACATCAGCTAGCTGGAGAGCACGCCTTATAGCCTTTGTCACAGATAATAGTGGCAAGTCTTTATCTGCTCGCAACACCATTGCTGTGGAGTTTCCAGGAATTCTGTGCTTTCCCTGCTACGCCCACCAGATTAATCTCATTGTCAGAGATTATCTGAACAAATGCGGGGCACAATTTTTGGCACAGGCAAGAATGGCCGATCAGCTCATCACATGGTTTCGTAGCCACCCCCGCATCCTTGGCCTGCTACAGGAAGTTCAACTGCGCACACGCCATAGAACTCTTACCATTATACGAGCTGTCATCACTCGTTGGATCGCACACTATCTTGCATATCGCCATCTTCTGGAAGTCCGGAACGGTTTTCAAATCCTTTTGAAAGAGGACGAGAACCGATCTGAAAGTCTACTCATTACTGGCAAACCTGAGGCAAGGGCAAAAGCAGAACAAATGATCAAGCTTATAGAAACAGGCTACTTCTGGCACTCTCTGGCACGGTCGGGCTCTGAATACTTGTTTGTTTTAGAATTTTTCTAATCTTTGAATTTAGTGCGAAAAGCCATCTTGGACCGCTTGCACAAGCTGCGAACATTCTTCAGGCATCATCAACCCGCCTTGACCATGTCCCTCTAGTCTTCGGCATGCTGTATCATCACTTTAACTCCCTTCGCTCAATAGAAGGAGCTGACGCAGACAACAACACGGCCTGCAGGACTATTATTTCCAGTGTCGAAAAGCACTGGAAGGCTGCAGATCAGGATATCTTCATTGCTGCTATTATTCTCCATCCTGGGTTAAAGTTTCATCCATTTAACCCTGGGGAGTTCAGCTTTGCAGATATTTTTATGCTGATGCAGCGTGTCTATCTACGCCTTTTTCCTGCTGCTACAGCTCCTCCTCTCACTTTGGAGCAAAATCTTTGGTCATATTTAGAGGACACTGGGCAATTCAAGGGTATGGCCAGTCTTTGGACTACTAGACAAGCAGCTAGCAGCACAGAAGCAGCAACCTACTCAGTAAGCCATGTTCTATTGTTTCCTGCAATTGAATTCAGCTTAGCTAATTTATATTGCTACCAGGACCAGCTCTCGGGAGACGATCCTTTGTGAGTTTGGAGGGATATCAGGCGTGGTACTCAGCTCTGTCCACTGGAGCAGGTTGCTGAGCTGATCCTGCCGATATGTCCCAATAATGGCGGAGCGGAGAGATATTTCAGCCTACTCAAGCTTATCCTCACTCCCGGACGCTCACGGCTCACGGCAGACAATCTCACCAATGAAGCAGAGCTTAATACTCACATTCGTTGTGAGCAGGAAGCCTTGAGCACACGAGTTGATCGTGCCAAACGTAGGCACCGGCTCTACATTGATGTTTCGGCTGTCGCTCCCTCGTCACAATCACCCATGCCCACTCCTCCTGCCACCAGCTCTACAGTCCCACTACCACCTTCTTCGGCTTCTCCAGCACTGGCGCCACCAGCTACGCCAGCCAACGTGCTGCCACACATCACACTACGCGAAGCGAACGATGCGGACAGCGATGCGGAACACGATGCGGAACGCTCCGTCACGCTCCGTCACGTCGGCTCCCTGAACACCATTGCACAGGGCCTAATGCAAGATGCCCAAGCGGAGGAGGGCCTTACAGAGGAAGACCATGTACCAATCACTCTAGCATCCTATGGCGAGCCATACAAGCTGCCTCTCGCACGACTCTTCAATTATCAGGACCGTTTCTGGGTGACAATGGTGGAAAAGTGGGGTATTCGGAGCTTAGACGAGGAACTTGAGGCTTATAGCATTGTTGACATGGATGCAGATGGAGATTATGACCCAGACTCGTATCCTTTGTAGCTAGCTATCTGGTAACTTATGGGTATATCGTACATTCGCTACTCGACAACGCGCGACGGCAGACCGCGAAAGGGCGGAAGAGCCTGATGGCGTCCTGCTACGCGATTGGCTACCGGGGTGGGACCCAGAACACCGGTCAGTCACGGTCATGTCTGACTCGGTCATTGACCAGTCATTGACTGGAGTGACCAGTCATTGACCAGTCACTGACCGGCACAACACTGCCATGTCATGCCTTCCATGGCGGCACTAGTGGGAACGCGACATTCGTGTTCGGTCAGCTCAGGCAACATCCAGAAGGCATGCACGTCCAGCGCTGCATATTACCTCCACACTCTGTGCGGCTTTGGAGTTGTACTTACATATGCAGAGTCGAAGACATGCTCTCCAACCTGCCTAACACTAATTCAGTGACGACCGTGACGAGCCGCGCAGTGCGAGCGCTCCGCTTTTGGGCGTCGTAGAGCTCGTGTTCTCAGGTAACTGGAGCTAGAGCGGAAGACCGCGGCC